GCGTCTCGTCGTTCATAACGTGCGCTACATTCTTCGAAAAAATCTTTTCACGGCCTGTACGTGCATGAATACCCACCATGGTCACCCCTATGGGCCAAGGAGCGTTGCCGATTGCCATTTGAAGATAGGCATCGCTAGCCTTACATTAAAATAAACATTGAATTATATATTAAATAATAATAATAACTGATATACACTTTACCTTTAAATAATTTCTGTTTAATAAATGTAGGGTGATTTCGGTCAAACTTTCTAGAATGTCGTCAGGAAGTGTGTGGTTCTTGAGTTTACGCAGGAGGGGTTTTAGGTAGACTTTAGTCTGTTCGAAAGTAGCTACCGTAACTTTCCCTCGAGTGCAGTTCCTTTCCAAGGGTGATCTGTTTTGCAACTGATCGTGCCACTGTTTAATTAAAAGCTAAAAATTAAAAATAAAAAACATCCGTTCTTAATAGGTCTTTAAATTTATTTTGTTATAAACTTAAAACTAAAGTAGTAAATGCTGGGAGAAAAGGTTAGATAAAAATATGAAAAAAAAAAGTTAAAATGAGGAACAAAAAAAAGTGAGAATTTGCAATTTTAATATTATATATAAAATAAACTGAGTGGTCAGCACAGGGTAAAGTAGTATTACGTAGTCTGTATCAGCAATTTCTTATGCGAAGTGTACGATGTGTTGCATACCTATTTATAAACAATTCATTTAATTTTAATTTTTCAAACATTTTTTAACACAAAGAAGAAGAAAGTGATTAAACAAATTGTTCACAAAAGTGAATTTCGACCACTCGAAGGAATGGTGCTAGCAGCTTCGAGCTCACATTCTTAATCTTAATTATTTTAGAGGTATCAGTAAATCTAGCCAATTTGATTAAAAATTGATAAGAAAAAACAGTAACTACATAATGTTCCTAACAATTCATGAATTCCTTTTCATTTGGGCATTTCCTATTGTGCCTGAATATATGACTTATTTAATTTCCGATTAGATACGACATAAACCTTCTTAACTGATTAGATAAGACACGAAACATTTGTGGATAGAAAGAAGCGTCATTGCACACTATTTTTGTTGTAAAGTATAATCAATTTATCACGAGTGTGAGTTCTTTGCAAATATGGAAGAAAACAGGCGACCCATTGTAACATATGACACTGATTACATTTACCTGTACGTTTTAGTCCCATTTACGGTTATCGCGGTCGTGGTAGTGATTTATTATGTGGTTAAAGAAAGTGCTAGACTGAGCAAACGTGGTAAATAAATATATGTACCATAATCGTACGAACATAACAACAAAGATAACTTATTGTCACAGCTCATTTGCTTATCTATATAATGAATAGACATATTTTTTTATTATTATGTAGGTAACAGAACAAGAAGGGTTGTACATTCGAATAATAGTAGGACACAGGCGCCTTACAGCGTAACCGATCCTGGAAGACATTTTAATACGCCCCCGCCGCCATATCAACTACACGACACGATAAGATCGCCAGATGGTATACGGTTAATAAATGTTTTGATGTTCACGTTTAAAAATCTACTGTTATAGGTTTACCACCACCTCCACCATATACTCCCAGATAAATGATGTTTTATATTTAATAGCTGTTATATATGAATGGATAAGACTAAAGCCAAATTAAAATGCTGTGACTGACGACTTTTGAAAGAAATAATAGTAAAATAAATAAATATAAAAGTTCACCTCAATAAAATTGACTATAACTTGCATGTCATGTTCCCTGTAACCACGGTTCATTTTTTTTGCCATCTTCTGAATCTCCTCGTAGGTCATGACAGGCTCTTGAGGTTTGTTCTTAGTTGTAGTTCCTTCTTTATTCTCTTCATCATTAGCCAGCAGTTCATTCAAGTAAGCTTCATCAACTTTTTCCATTGCTTCTTGGAAATCATTTCTGAAGCCCTTTAGAAACATTTCATTTTATAATGGTGAACAAATAAAAAACCTTCAGCTCACCTTGTTCATTTCTGGCTCCAAAATTTCACACTTTCTCAATCTCCTAAATGCGTCTAACTCTGTTTCACCGAATAGAAGAATGGGCTCACCTCTGTCTCTGAGTCTTGCTATGACTTCGTGTCTAGGTAAACCAGATCTATCCAAATTGTCCTCGTTTGATAAGGACCCTGAAAAACCTATGTTATTTCCAAATTTAATAGAAATAACAGAAAAAAACATAACCAAAAAATGAAATTAAATTACACAAAATTAATACCTTCTGATGATTTTACTGAACTAACGCAATGTTCACTGATTAATCTTCCATATTTCTTCTGATATTCTTCATGTTCTTTAGCTACCAAATCTGCCCTCTTAAAGTACTTCTTATCAGAGCACTAGAAACAATTCAAATACCAATTTCATATTTCATTAACCACCTACACATACCAAACTTACTACTAGTTCAGTTTCTTCCAGTTGCTTTCGTTTTTTGGCAATTTCTGCCTTTAAAATATCCATTTTGTGGAAAAAATCTTGCTTTGATTAAGAAATAACCTCTAAATTGGAATTTGGTTAAACGTCAAACATTCGTTCCAATCGTTGTATATATGTATTATCTATGATATCCTCTTGCACCCATAGATAAGGCCCTGAAAAACAGTTCCAAAGAGCTTAATCAATCAGGGGAAACACAGACAAACCTAATCCAATAATGATAACATTAAAATAAATAACAAATTCTATTATGCAATGCGATAAGTTTATTTTCTTGTGGACCTATAATTATTGCAAAATATGAATGTGTATAAGCGTTAACAAAAAAATGTACATCAAATAAGTAGGGGATAAAAGGGGTATGGGAACCCATTACATGATAATATTAAAAAAAAAACAAAGACTTCTTTCCTGCTCTTATGGGTATAACATTTCAAATATCTGATATGCCATGATTTTGAGCGTTCCTAATAATCATTAAAAGCTCCATTTCGGCTGACGTTTATAGACGTCAGCACCCACAGCCTCGGTCACATTTTTATAACCATCGGCCCGCAATAATTCCACGAGTTCCTGCTTAATTTTTGTTACCACCGTTGGTCCTTCGTATACCAGAGACGTGTAAATTTGCACTGCTTTAGCGCCCGCTCTTATTTTATCGTAAGCGTCTTTACCATTATAGATACCCCCAACACCTACATAGGGCAATTTAAATTATAATAACTACTTGAAAATTAAAACAAAAGAAATTAAAAAAAAAGATGATTAATATTTCATTGCAGTTGCTTTTCTTTGAACAAAAAAAAAAACAATACTCCGAACGCGTTAAAAAAATAAGGGAAATAACGAGTACAGCTGAAGACAGATAGCGTTACCTCCAGCTAAACAACAATCCGAAAAGACTTCCTTTGAAAGGCATAGTTCTGTATATATTTGTACAACAACCATTAAATCAATGAATTAACATGAAAATTGATAAAAACTGTTAGAATGAATAATTCCTGATATTCAGCTTAGAAGAAATATGTTGTATCTAAAGTTGTTTAACAACTTAATTTTATAATAAAATACAACTTAGTAAGTGAAATTTGGCTTACCAATAATATCCATGCCATTTGTAAGTCTGTAAACGTCGGCGATCATTTTGGTCGATGCATCCTTTAGGGGTAGACCACTCAGACCACCTTGCTCTTTCTTATAATGGAATGACTTCAAAGTGTGAGGCCTCTTGACGGTGGTATTGGCAACGATGAAGCCGTCAACGTGGGTATCTTTCTGCCTGACCACTTCGACTACGTCTTGTAATTCTTCAGATGTTAAATCAGGGGACAGCTTGAGTAAGATGGGAGGTTTGTGCTCTGCTGGCAATTTGTTCCTCGCTGCGACAACTTTGCGCAGTAAGTTCTTCAGCTGCTGTTTCTCTTGTAGTTGAGTTAATCCTGGCGTGTTTGGACTGAAAATCGTTAATAATAAATGTCATTAAGTGTATTCACTATATTTTATTAATTAGTTGTTAATTGCATATATTTATAATCTTATATGTATAATGTATTTGCTTTCTTGTAATACTTGTTTTTAGCCCTGCAATATAGGTCAAACTAACCATTGATTGAATAAATGAAATGAAATAAGAACATATACTTGTTTTAATTCAATAAATTCAATACAACCTGCTTATGTTCACCACCAAATAATCAGCAACATGGGCGAATGTTTTCACTCCTTGTACATAGTCCTCTGCAGGATCAGCACTTCTCTTGTTTTTGCCCAAATTAACACCAACAACTCCATTATGTTGTTGTGCAAATCTCACATCTGCCAGTCTTTTGTAAACCCGTTCATGTCCTTCACTGTTGAACCCATACCTAAGAATAGAAACTTTTGATTATAAAAATTGATATGCTTGTGAGAATAAAGGAATAATAAAACCTGTTTATAATCGCCTGATCGTCCAAAAGTCTAAAAAGCCTGGGTCTCTTATTCCCAGGCTGTGGAGCAGGTGTTACAGAACCAACTTCAACAAATCCAAACCCCATCTTCTCCAATCCTTTCACTGCTTCACCGTGTTTGTCATAACCAGCAGCAATTCCCACAGGATTTGATAGCACTTTTCCAAAGAGTTTCACTTTCTAAATTGTAACTATGTAACAAATATGAAAAACAAGAGGTTTTAATACTTACAAGGGCATCAGGATCCTTGAAAGAACTTTGCGGTAGGAGAGAATGTTTATTTACAAATACTGCCAAATTGTGGGCTTGCTCCGGTTGTAAGATGTAAACTGCAGGAAGTACAAACTGTTTGTAAAACTTCTCGTTTTCATTGTATATACTAAAAGCAGCAAAAACGCCAAATCCTCCCAATGACACTATGGCAAGGGAACGAATTCTTTCCTAGAAAATATAATATGTAGTTACTTACATTGCATTGTTCTTAAAAAATTAACAAATTTACTAAAAAGGAGAATTTGCTGGACATCTTTATGAAGTTTTATACATTTTAATGACTGTATAATGAGGCGACGACAGTGACGGTTACACTAGTTAATTTTTCATAAATATATTCATTCATCATTGTCAAAAACCACAAAACAAAAGATTAATAACACTAACACGATTTAATTAACTTTGAATTAAAGATGATTGAAACTAAAAACATGCCGAAAGTCAGACCAAAACAGATGTTTTATGTGAGGTTATGATCAAGTTTAAATTTAGTTACTTGCAGGGTTGCCAACGGTACTGCTCATAAACATATAGTCCCTGGTTTTTAAAATTTAAATTAAAGCGCCAAAACTTTTCTTCCGCGTTTTCTAAATAAAACACGAAGTTTAGTTATTTAAAATTTTATAAGCAATTCAAACCGATATTACTCTTAACGACGTGATAAAACCTATAAAAAGAATGTGTATATAATAAAAAAATAATATAGAGGTACAAAAACGTATAGAAAATAAAAAAGATATCTAGAAACAATGATATTTATAAATGGCACGTTCTGAAACTTAATTAGGTATACTACAATCTTTTTTTATGATTTGTTTGCTTTATAGTTTCATAAACAACTTTTAGCAGACAAGTATTACAGAAATAAATTGCTTCCTTTTCCATGAGCAGGAAGAGACTTGAAATAAAAATATGGTACATACAAAAAAGAGTTATATGTATAAGTGTATTGAAACTATTTACACTATTACAAACTTAATTTAAACAAATAATTTGTTTAACAAAGTTACACAAATGTATTATTTACTATCTAGGATGTACAACTGCATATTTAAAGCTTGATTTCATTTGCACTACCAAAAGTCACAACTTTATGTGATTTTTAAGCCAAAATATACTTTCTAAATACTTGTAACATATACTGTTCTGTGCGCAATTTTCCACATGATACACACTACAACTTTAGATTAACAATAATTATAACGCGAATCCTATAATTTCGAATAAAAAGTTTCAGTTCACATACATTACTTAATATTAACACCAAGTATAAATAAATACAAAAATAAAACGAGACATTTAACACGCTAATCATTGTTTTCTTTAGAGTAACGAATAAATTACAAAAAGTTTATGAGAAACAGAAGACATTGTCGGGTAAAAAAGGATAATCTGCTCCAAATTTTAAAATCTTATATCCCTGGTAATTATTACTCCCACCAAAATATTAGATAGGCACCAGCCAGTAAAAGTTACAAACTTTAGTTATCTTGATTTTATTTTCTATTATATCACAATTGGAAACTCAAGTTTAACTGCCCATTAAACAAAACTTACAAAAACAAATTCTGTATTATTAACTGAATTATTGAAAGAATAATTTTTGTTATATCATCTATCTGTTTAATTAATTTGGAGTGTTTTATTTGAAAAAAAGCAGAACTTAAGGTATATTAATTTAGGGAATAAATCAGCAACAGACCTGAAAATTTAGGGGAAGTTTACCCCTTATTACCCAAATATGACTTAAATAATCAGAATCAATAAATGAGATTCAATAAAATAAATCTTACAAAAAAAAAGGAAAAGATTAACTTACATCATACTATATAAATAATAATTTTAAATATGTATATTAGGGCTTCAAAATATTATAAAAAAAAAAACATTGAACACTAATCTAATAAAAACGTTACAATCTCATTTTTCTGTTCACCTTTTATACAGAGTATTTATTTAGTGTTCAGTGTTTAAAAAAAAGACATTGAAATTACTGACTTTCAGTGTCAGTGTTGTTGTACCTGGCATGTAGTCTTTTGTGAGTGTTGAGTGTTGACTTCTGCGAAAAACATTTCTCGCAAATTTCACACTTGAAAGGTTTCTCACCTGTGTGTGTTCTGATATGGGTGTCCAAGTAAAATTTACAAGTGAAGGACTTTCCACAGTAATTACATTCATATGGCTTCTCTCCGGTATGTATTCTAGTGTGAACATTTAGAGCTAACTTTGTGGTAAAGTTGTGACAGCATTCAGGACATGTATAGATCTTTTTACCAGAGTGGATTTTCGAATGTTGTCTTAGAAAATACTTTCTATGAAACGAGATTCCGCAGTCTTCACATTTAAAATTTCTCTCACTCCTGTGGCTCTTTTCGTGTGTGCTTAAACTGGAACGACTTACAAAGCTCTTCTGACATTCACCACACTTGAAAAGTCTTTCCTTTGGTTGGAAATGGGTTCTTTTGTGTTTGTTGAATTCCAATTTTGATATGAAAACAGTTTTACAAATGTCACACTGGGACCAATTGTCACTGTTTGGAACTGGATTATCACCACCGTAAGGAGTATTATAACCACTATACACTGAATTATAGTTATTGTAAATAGAGTTATAAGTACCAGGAAATGTACTTCGATTGTGCAACAGTCCATCATCTGTACAGGTGGAAGAGTTGCTCTTATTATGTGACCTTATATGCCTTGTGTAACCTGTTTTATGTGCAAATCTCATTTGGCAAACGTCACATTGCAACTTCTCCTCTTCTGAATGTGCTTTCACATGAACATGAAGCTTTATTTTTGAAGGGAAATTCTTATGACAATCTTCACATTCAAATTTCTTTCTGCAGTTCCTCACATCAGATTTTACAAGTTCAGAGTCCACTGGAGTTTGATTACTGTTTAAAGGATGGCTTTCAATGTTTTCATTATTTAATTCATGATTTTCACTATGTCTTTCGTTCCTTAAATTGAGTATTTCATTACTTGTACTCTGCTGATTGGGTCTAAGATGCAATTCACTATTTCTGACGTGATGAACTTTATCTTTCTGCTGCAACTGTTGACTCAATTCTGTTAGAATGGCAAGTTCTTGTACAAAATCAGGACTGCAAGTTAATTGCTCTTTTCCATTCAAGGGCTTGGGAACGTTTACTGGAGTTGGTTTGCTAATGTTTTCTAATTTTTTGGCTTCATAAAGTCTTTGAGGTTCACCTTCGTAAGTGGTGTGAGATTTATTGTCGTATGATTCATGAATTTTTTCACTGTACGACTTACCTTCGAAAGAGGTGAGAATTTTATTTTCATAGGGAGTCCGGTCTTTATCAACATAATTTGAAAACGAATGCAAATGATTATCAGGAGCTTCCATTTCTTCCTTTACTACGGGAAAACAGTCGGTATTTACTTCCATTTCATCCCTTTGTGTTGTAATTCTGTAATTAACGAAGAAATAAACAAGCTTTTTCTCTTGAAAAGAGCAATTCTTAAAAAAATATTCTAAAATAGATCAAAATTTTATATAGACGTAAACAGTAAAACAAAATGGCGTGTCGCTATATTGGTAATCGGGACATTTACATTTTTTTTTTGAAAGTGTCACTATAACAACTACCGGAATATTATTTCTTTTGCGATAAAAAACTATTTTGAACCAAAACAGCAAGTGGCTGGTTAAACTAACAGAACATAAGAAAAATATCCTTTAAGGATAAATAATAAGTATTTAACATTTATTTAACTATAAATTTACAAATTTATTTTCAAAACTACAATGTATAAATTCATGATAAGGAACAAATATGAATAAATGAGAACTTACTTAACATAGATGTCTTAGTCATCTTCCACTGGCATATTTTCTAAATATAGTAAAGCAGCCCTTTTCTTCATTTTATAAACATCCATAAAGATTTTGAGACATAGTTCTGGCAATAACACTTTAAAATAATATTGATTTAGACGAAAAGGGTTTTCATCATCAAATTCATCATGTAGGAGGGACAAAAGTATATTTTTCTGGTCAACTGTGAATACACTCATACTAGGACTATATCTTAGGTCCTTGTCTGTGTAATTATCTTTAAGATTTTGTCTTTTAAACTTTTCATGCCTTTCACTGTAGATTGTTCCATTAAATATTTCCTTTGCATATTTCAAGTTGTTATAAAACATTTCCTGTATTTTTGATGGTGTTAGAGACATACAATTTAAAGAAATAACAGCTTCTTTGTTAGATTCAAGTTTGATGGGAGAAACTTTGTTTTGTACTAGTTCTTCAAATTTGACATTATCTATTAATTCTTTGTAAGCTCTATTTCTCTCTTGAAACTTAACAATCTCTCCATAAGTAGGCATTCTGATACCATATCTGAGGTAATTTTCATAACGTTCTTTCTCCATATTTGCATCAATTCCTTGCTTATTATTTATTTCATTATTCTCCTTAAAATTGCAGCTTATATTATCACTTTTGTTCACTGTTTCTTTTGAGGATTTTGCAAGCCATTCTGTTAATTTTGAACAACTGGTAACTTCAGATTTTGGTAATTTGTTTTTAGCCTTTTGTCGATTTTTTAATGGTGTCTTGCATCTCTTGGAACATTTTCCTAATCTTATCTTCATTACTATTGGGGTGTCATGCTTACCATTAGGAGAACAATAATTAGCTACAGACAACTGCTTCATCTTTGAGGAATCCTTTTCTTTCTGTTTCAAGAAAATTTTCTTAGCTTGCCGCCCAACTAACTTGTGTACCAAATTGTCCAACGATTTATCAATATTGTGACTTGTGTTACAGGTGTTCATCTTTAAAAATAAGGGTGTAACTGGGTCCTTCTGACTGAAGTAAAGTACAACCTACAGGAAACGATGCAGTTCTTAAATTATAAGCATTGAATGCTACATAAACTATATCCGCTATTTTAGACGGTAAAAGAGTTTTAAATCAATACTTACACTAGTCAATATATATTAATTTATTCACATTCAATTTGAACGAATTAGCTATTTGGATTATAAACAATACAAAAATTACCGTTAGCACGGTGTTTGTAGGTGATGAATATCTATGGTTATGAACCATACTGATCATAGAGAATAGTTCATAGATAGATGTAATAGAAAAGAAAAATTGTGTCTCCATAAGAGCACAAAGTAAGCTAAGCAGACAAATCATTCAAATTAAATTATTTATTAGTCTTATTTTATAAATACTTCTCGAATTAACACAAAAAGATAAGAAATACAGAGAGCACATTAAAAAAAATTAAAAACAAAATAGAGAGACAATTAACTACAAAACAATTCAAATGCATACTAAAAGTTAAAAGAGATTCTTTTTTACTTTAAATGAGAGGATAACTTGCTGAACTTGCTATTCCACAGTTGTTGTCTTTGTTTCTGGCCATTTTGATGTAACCACTATCGCCCCATTTTGGTCCCCATGAGTTCTTTACCAACCAATAATCAGTACCATCTTCAGTGGTTCCATAGCCTACTGCTAGCACTCCGTGATCTAACTGCTCAGAACTACATTCTTCATCGTAGTAAACGCCTTCGGAATAAAATTGGAAATTTTCATGACTGGCATCAATGGCCACTGAGATAGGACCCACTGTTGCCACTGCTGCTTTAAGGGCTTCTTCGTCCCCTTGACTAATGTCCATAAAGCCCTTATCGTCGGCACCCGCGTTCCTTGGATTGTATCTGCATTTGTCGTCTTCGCCCTCATAAGGGTAGGTCTTTTCGGTGTCAATACCACCATTATTTTTTATGTACCTAAACGCGTTGTCCATAAGACCGCCATTACAGCCGTTGTTGCCATATTTACCAGAACAATCGATGAGATTTTGTTCACTTAAACTCACCAACTTGCCATATTTACGAAAATGTTGGCCTTCTAGGGAACCAGTCTGACAAAATATCGAAAGAAGCAAGTTAATAACCCGAAGTGGACATAAATAATTGTAATATTTCTTAAAATATATGCAAGTTAGGCTATATTAGGCAATTTACGTTCATGACGTCATGTTGGGCGCTATTTTTGAATTGTTATAATACATTACTTCTTACTTAAATCCTTTAAAATGCAATATATGTGAGTAAAATGATATGAACCATTATTAAAATATGTTAAATGTTGTGTTAATTATAATTCCTGATACGTAAAGAGACTTACAGCACTAAAACTCCAACATGAACCACAATGACCTTGATCTTTGACTTCTGTTACAGCTCCTTTTTCTCTCCAGTCTACTTGGTCAGGTAATTTAACATGTGCAGGGGGAATAAAAGTGGGTGCTTTGAAGCAATCCTCTTTTTGGATTTGTTGACTTAATAAACCTTGTGATCTGAAGTAATTTTCTTTAGTAAAAAAAAAAATGAACAAAATTATGGAATTGTTACCTATTAAAACCATTCACAGTATGAACAAATTCATGATGAAGCATGTCAGCAAATTGATTAAGTTTTAGTTTGTACGAAACCAAGCCTATTTCAAATTTCTGATTGTGTTTAGCAACTTTGTGAGCATTTTCAACATAAATTTTCATCCTAAGGCGTTCTTCTATTTCATTGTCATATTGTTTTCTATGTGTAAGCTGTAATAATTTAGAATGACTCTAGTTCTGTTAATTAAAACACAACAAAAATAGTTTACCTTGAATGATTTCCATTCTTCTTGAACCAAATCAAAAAACGAGACTGCTATTACTTGTGTTAAAAAGAATGGCAAAAAAGCCAATATAATCTTCATATTTATATTTTACTAAAAAAAAATACATCTGTATTTGTATTAAGTTAATCAAATAAAATTAAATTAATTCATTTAAATTAGTGAAATATGTAAATAAATTCAATCAGAACTGCGAAAGTTTCAGTTACAGATATTATTAACTTACATGTTACTTCCTGGACGACACAAAATCTACTGAACACTGAAGTAGAGAAATGATAAATGGCGATATTAGATGCCCCCCTTATCAAATTTAAACTGTTTTTGTTTTGTTATCTAGAGAAATTCACAAGAAATTTAATCACGTGAACAAGCAGAGTGAGTAAATAATAACGACCTTGTTTCTTTTGTTCTTGTTTTGTTATTGTTATTACGTACAGCTGAAAAATCAATTGCGTCTTCTCTTTGTCACTCACATTTACACGACAAAGATAGTGAAGGAAAATCTAAACCTTAGCAGCATTAAAAATCTTACGTAACGGCTAACGAGCCTGCTGACAGTGTGAGTGATTAAATACTAATACGTTCTAAAAAATGTCAACCGAACGTTATTACCCACAAGATGAACAAGAAAAGCTTATAGAAAAGTCCAAGAGGAGAGCATTCTTAAGGGAGGAGTTCCTTAAACAGACCACAAATCCTTTTAGACATGCTACTGGTGAAGGGGGCACAGTGGTATGTGTCTTTATTTTTAATATAACCTCAAAATTTTATGGTTCTTATCAATGATGTCAAACAATTACCTTATTTCGTCTTGAATAACTAAAAGAATAGAAAACACTTCAATTAACCCTTAGAGCATGAAGCATTTATAATAAAAACAACACATACTCGTAACTGTCATTGTTTTACCTACTTATCAAACTCCATTACTGCTTTTTAAACCTCATTGTTACAACAATGATTAATACATTGTTAATACTGCCAAACTTTATTGTTGTACATTTTAACTCTATTTAATCATAGATATTTATAGCTGAAGTTAGTAAGATACTGCATTTAAAACTTTAAAAGCTTTTGGAGACTATGTAATAGCAGTTTTTGATTATAAGTCCTTAATATAATGGAAATGTAGCAGCCTTTTTAATTCCACAAGTTATTTGTTTCAAAGCACAAATGGAAATAAATTAAAGTCAAAATAGTTAGATATTTCCATATCTGTACTATTTGATTTACTCCAGTAAAAAAAATAAGTAAAACTGGAACACATTGATTGTGATCATAAAAACTAGAATTTAAAGCAGATTAAAGTCAGAACTTAAAGCGAGAACAATAAAAAATTGTTTAAGTTGGTACGCTGTAATTATTTCATCTATTAAACCCTTGTTGCAACAATGAGTAATTCATTGTTAGGGCTGACGCCTACCATTGTTAGATGTGTCAAACCTCATTGTTGCACATTTTAACTCCGTATAATCATAGATATTTACTGCTGAAGTTAGCAAGTGACTGCATTTAAAAAACTTTTACAACTTTTTAAAGTATCTCATGATTTATAAATCCTTAATTCGATTAAAATGTCATCTATATTTCAAAGTACAAGTAGAAATAATTGTTATTTTTAAAAGAAAAAGTATTTCATGTTGTACAGGAGTAGTTTTATTAAAAATTGTACATCAGTTCTGTTCTTAATTTCTCATTATGTCCTGTTAATTGGTTTTCTTGAAATGTTTTCGTTCAGTTCTTTATAGTTGCGTATTCAAACTAAGGGGTAGCTTGCGTAAGTGGCAATACCACAGTGGTTGTTGGCATACTTGGCGATCTTCATGTATCCGCCGATGCCCCATCCAGTTCCGTACGAATTTTTGATTAACCAGTACTGTTTACCATCGGGTTCTGTCCCGTAACCGACCACCAAAACGGCGTGGTTCATTTTATCGGCTGCACTCTCACATTTCGGGTCGTAATACACCCCATCGGAATAAAACTGGAAAGACTCTTGGCTGGCATCGATGGCCGCTGAAACGGGCCCGATTGTGGCCACCGCCGATTCTAATCCCCGTTCGTCCCCTTCGTCCAGGTCCACGTACCCTGACGAACAATTTTTAAATAAAGTGTAATTCGACATTGCAACAACATTCAGGTCTTTCGCGACGGTTTCGTTTTTGGGTGTACCTGTATCATGAGCCGCGTATCCCTCTCTTTTGTATCGGCACGGTTGGGTGTCGGTGGCCTCGAAGGGGTACGTGTTCTCACCCTCTATTCCCAGATTGTCCCTTACGTACTCGAAAGCCGGGTCCATGAGACCGCCAATGCACCCGCTGTTTCCATACGTTCTGGTACAGTCTATCAAATTTTGGATGCTGAGTTCCCGGAGTTGACCAGTTTTTCGAAATATTTGACCCTCCAGTGCCCCCGTCTACACAGACAGGAAATGACGGATTAGAATCTGCTTTGCGTCGATCTTTCTTAAAAAATTAAGGTCATTCTTGTGGTACCAGATTGTCAGGACAAAAGAAAAGAAAAGACGCCTCCGGTGGTACCATAATATTGTTACATCACGACGAGTACGTGAATTTTCCCATTTTCTTCGCCATTTATGCGTTCACAGTTGTTATTGTTGTTACATAAGAAGAAGTGCCTTTTGTACTTGCTAATGATATTACGGCAAGCTTTTAGTATGATTATGATTAATTATACCTATCATTAGGAATTACTTTGATGCGCGCTGAATGTTGTAATTTTTCGCGCGAATTTCTAAGTCGACCCTGTACGTTTAAATATCATTTATGGATCTCTCATAACAGCAATTTAGTGTAATAGTGATTGAATTCGTGAATAACAAACTGAGTGATTGTTGGTTTCAGGAATTCGTAATAGGATCATCTAAAAGAATCATTATACAATTTACATACAGTTACATAATCGGTCTTAATAGAACTTTCACCTGATACGTTGCTGATTTTTTTGTTATTTTGAATGATTGGCCTCAACGTCTTACAAATAAACAAAATTATAAATTGTTATTGTTGGAGTCAGCGGTCTCCACTGGCTGATAAGATAAATAGTGAAATAAAAATCATGGAATAGTTGCATTACCTTACTGGATGCTGTTTCTTGTACGTTATTTTAATAAATGTGACATTTCTTTTTAAGGATTTACCCAATAAGATTGACCTTAACTCGTTTTTATTGTAATCTAGGGGTTTTAACTGTGGCTTAAATGTTTCCTAAATACATATCAAAGATCATCTACGATCACATAAAACCAATTTTTGTATCCTTCAGGACCAGAATTTTTTTTTCTGAATAAAAGGTACCCTATGTCCTTTTCTGTATCCCTGCCAATGTGTGTACGAAATTTCATGATAATCGGTTGAGTATTTGAGGCATGAAATGGTATCATACAAACAACAAACTCATTTGCATTTATATCATTAGGATGTTTAATAGACTGGATTAATAAATGAGTGATGATTATGAAAAAAAAAACTGTAAAAAAGTCCGATTTATGTATGATGTGTCGAGCAGAGATTTATTTATGAATTTCGGTTTTATTCAAATTTTTCGAAATTGATTATTATGTTGTTTCGTGGAATCGACTGAGTTATTTCAAAATCCGGTTCTCTGGAATTTTCTAAATTTCATAGAAATTAACATTCATAATTTTAGAAAAATAACAGTGCATTCCAATCGTAGTGCTTCATAATCAATTTCCAAAAATAATTGTTACCTATTCATTTCAAAATCCCACACGCAAAATACTTATGCATACTTGGTTTATTATCCTTTTCCTATCCATTTACCAGGATTTAAACGTAAAAAAGCATCGATTTCGATGATAAAATCGAATACGACTTACGGCACTAAATGCGTAGCATGCGCCACACTTTTCTTGACTTTTCACGGAAGTCACGGCTCCGGCTTCCCTCCAATCGACGGATATCGGCAGGGCAACATTTGCACTGGGAATGAAGGACGATCCGTGATTGACTTCTTTTGTTTTATTTCGATTTTCGCGATTGAAACCGTTCAACAACTGATTGAACTCGTGCGTCAGAAGGTCCGCGTACTCGTTGACTTTCAAAACAAACGGCGATCGTCCCACCCCGTACTCGTCGTTGAATTTCATAATTTTCTTCTTGTTTTCGATGAAGATCTCTTTCCTGAACAAGGCTTCTTCGGCGGTCGCATAAACTTTGTTAAATTGCGTCTGAAAGGCCAGAGAAACGTTGCAAATGAAAGAAGAAACCTTCTCTAAATTTTTCTTCGCCACTCACCCTGAAAGAGTCAAATTCTTGCGCTAAAAACTGCTCTAGTTCCCCAATGGGTTTCGTCAATCGTTCGACGAAGTTTTCACCACCAACAGTCGAAGCTGAAGATTGAGATACTGACGAAGCCGAAGAAGAGGCCGAGGCCTGAGCAGAAGAAACAGCGGATGAAGCCACATTGGCTATTTCAGCCTGCGCTTCGGACAAGTGGCCCCCAGGAACAGCGTTTACGTCGATTTTGGGGAATCCAATGTTCTGGAAACCCGGGATTGACGGTAGATGAGGTGATTTGGTGAGGAGGGGAGGGGTATTGAAACGACCTGCGAACTGACGGACTTTTCGCCTTCGCGATGTTCCCGACTGTTCCTCAATTTCCCGGGCTTTTTCCGGATTTGTGTCGGCCACCGTAATAGAGAACCTTTTCTCTCTAGGACCGCTCTCTGATGAGGAGGCAAGGCATGACGACAAAACAACGAAAATAACGGCTAGGAGCAGTTTCTGCAAAGAGAATTTTTGTTGCAACTTGGACAAGATCAAAATTATCGTAATTTAACACAATTTCAATAATCAGTCCACTGAAAATCGAAATACTGGTCAGGAGGTCAGAATAACTAAGATTTTGCGTAGCCTTAACACTATTAAATCAAAAGGTCCTTTCGAGCCAAGGTTTTAAAGTCGTTATAAATTAACGGATTTTTTTTGTTCGTTTATCAATTAAAATGTATCAAGATGATTTGTTTTCCTGCAATCTAAAAAGCCGACAACTAAAACCATTAGCAGCAATAAACCTTGCGCATTTATAATTTGTAAGAGTTTCGATGCGAACATCAAGATGTGTTAACTGTTAAAACTTTTTCAACTGGCTTAGGGCGAAAATGCTAATCGGTCTCGGTTTCCGTTGCACAAACCAAAACTCACACATGAATATTAATAATGCGTGAAACAAATCTTCTTACAGCATGACCTAATATACATTCAAATACATAATTAGTACCTACTGTCATTTTTATTTCTTAATAGATTCACTTTCAACTTAACATAAGTTTCATTAACTGTTATATTAAGTGAAGCGAGATTAACAATAAATAGTTTTTGTCTGATATTGAAATTAATTGAGTAATTCCGAAACTATCAATTAAATTTGGAAATAATTTCTCTAAGTTGTAAGATTTTCTTTGCTCGCGAAATGTAACAGGGTTGGACCCAGGTAAATTTTCATACGAGAATCCTCGATATCCTTAACGACGATGACGACGATTCTTGTAGTCTCAAAAAATAATTCACTTATTCACAATTTTGTTGCACTTAAATAACACACAATACCCGATTTGCGATTTTCTTACCGTTAATGTCATCTTGGAGAGCCGGCAACAATGATGACGAAGGATTGAAAGGTGTTTGGTTGGTTTGAGTGGGTTACATGAGGTTTTTCATGTGGATCCCCTCTATGGTCGAGTTTCGGTTTTTTGGTGGCTCCCCAGCACCTTTTTTTTACATACGTGCAAAAGTGAGTGAGTTGGGTGGAAATTTGTTGGCAATGACGGAAGTCGACGGAATTTTTCACTAATTGGACCCGTTGAATTAATGAATCAATCAAGAAAGATTTATACAATATTAATTTAACTGCATGATATACCTATACAGTAGCCGATTTTTTGAGGTGCGGCACGCTAGAAGGCCAACAGGGATTATTTAGTTTTGTTTCGTTTTTGATGGACTTTACGTATAAATAAGTTTTGGCCATAAACTGAATTAGAAAAAAAAAAAGAGAAGCAACAAGGCAAATAAACAGTTGAAAACGAAAAACATTTGATACGAGGGATAGCCGTTATTCTTTTAGAATTCAATGATGAATATGCTTTTGTTTTGGGTGAAGTTGAAATAAATGGGCAGGATATGACAGTAAAATTAAAATCAGGATATAAGGTGGTAAATATGTGTAGCATTTCTAGAAAATTACATAACAACACTATTAACATTTAATAGTTAAAAAAAAAGCTGGAATATATTATACATATGTATAAGTGTTGCGCTAATTTGAACTTTATCGATGTGCTCGGTAGCATCTTTAATATGCGTACAAAAATGGACAAATGATCGTAGTAAAGATAAAAATAATATATGTATGTTAAGGTTCTTTCCATCTGTCTAACTTTATTTACATGATACAGCTTCTTCTATAATATATATAAAGACTAGCATCATCGTTAACAACCGTTTGAAGGACTCCTTGAGCTTTATAACTGTAATTTACGTCGCTCTAATACGTACATTAACAGAAAATAATCTCATCGGTATTCGGACTTTTTTCGAATGCCAACATCAATATTAAATGCCCACAATCTCCATTATAATATTTGATTGCCTATCTATCCTATTTAAATCTATCTACATGTGTATATTGTACCTAATGGAGCGCTATTGTTTATTATCTGTCTTATCGTCCTTTAAATTTAACAAAAGAAACAAAATCGTCAATAATAATGAAGAAACAGTCGCGAACATTTATGCATTTGTCTTTACAACATGAGTACGTATGAAACAATTGAAGTTTTTTGTACTTCATTTTTAATCCTTCGGCGATTGTTAGTTTCTGCCTACAGGATGTGCGCTCTTTCTTTTAGACCATTGTGACCCTGACGATTGTATACTGCCGGATACTGGCGTCAAATGTTAAAAACGTTTCGCATCTAGCAGTTTATTAAACTCGTAAATGTACTTTATAAAATGTTTAAATTACCTATTACCTACTAAATTATCGCAGATCAAAACTGGCATGCACAATGCATCCAAAAAGATGTTAATTAAATTTGTAGAAAGTTTATTTCGTTGTTGCAGTTGTTTTTTGTTTTTTTCGAAACATAGTATGTCTCTTGTTTTTTATGACATTTTACGAAACATTTTCAAGATAATAATTTGTCGACAGTTGACGCTCGATCCAGATTGCAACTAATGTATAAAAATAATTGCTCGCAAAACATTTCGTAATGTGTTACTTACTTAATGTAATTAATTATATTCGTATGGGGTGATCTATATCACGTTGTTTTTGCGTCGTTTTTTTTTTGGGGGATGAAAAGACATTTCAAAAAGGATTTTGTAAATTTATTTAAGTAAAAATTCCAGTGCCGTTAATTTTAATTATTTACTTAAATATTTACATTCAAACACAATAATAAGGAAGATGTTGTTGTGTTGTAATATTCTACAGCTTTATCATTTTCACATGACTGACCCCGTAATCTGCCCGTTTACATTATGGTTCAATAGAGTTGACCCCAAAACTTACTTTACTGCGTTTTGGGTCTACCATTAGACTTTGTCCTTATTCATTTCTTTGATTTGTCCCTTTTACTAACAATGACCAAAGATTAAACAAACCATGGAAGTTTATATTTAAAAATAATTGCTTAATTTGTAGGAGTATTTAGCAGAAGTGTTGGGGTGTATGTATTTTTGATTACATACTTTTGTTTATATTTGTGGCAACGCATGTCTCTCTTATCGAACGAAGTCGACATTCACTTATTAAATGTATTTGTTTTAGTTTAATTATTACCAACTTATTACGAATTAGATTTAATTATTTCACGTACTAGAAAATTGTATTGCTTTACACAATAACGATAGATCTGAACAAAAAAAAAAAACGAACAAGGTTACTAATTGTCTTTCATTGATCAAATATTCTACGAATTAGAAATTTGAATCAAAGATAAAATGTAAAGGTTTGTCGTTAGAGACAAAAAAAAAGTTGTAGCTTTTATTACCACTGAAAGTGAGTCATGAAACATTTGCTACGTTTACATGGTGTTTTATTAAGCATATTAAGCAAAAATAATAAAAGTATGACGTATTTAAATCAATGACTCATTGAAATTAAGTTAACAAACTTGCACCACAACTGTATTCGTGAAAACCGATTTTTTTACTAAGCATACAGATGCTTATTTATTACAAAATTATTCTAGCTCAATTTCTCAATATAGAAGTATTCATTAACAACTATTTATATTTGCGTTACTTAATAAAAATCGTAGGCGTGTTTTTTTTTACTTGTTGCGACGGCAAAAACATATTCACTGCATGTATTTAAAATGATAATTGAATGTAAAAAAAAATGTTTTGTCCAAGGTTCGTGTTAACAAAATTTGACAACTATTGTTTCAATTTAGTTTGACTTTAATTTAATACAAAATTCATGTATTTGTATACTGCATTCATTATTTGTCAATTTATAATTATCTCGTAGTCGGTTATGTTTAAACGAAAATATTATTATCTCCCTACATATATGGAGATAAAAATGTTTGTATGTAAACTTTGTTTATAAGTACCTACAATTTCTTAATTTCATTTTGCATATTTCGTATCAATATTACATATTTTTTGCATTTGTTTTTACTAATTCCTTTGTTTTCTTTTCTACTAACTCTTTTGTTTTCTCTATTGGAAACAAGTGAAATAGTTTTATGATGATACGTTTATGTTTTTTTCTGATGTAATGTCAGAGCCTTTTGCACTGTTATTATATGCATACATTAAAATATGAACTAGTAAAACGTCGTGGACCTTAAAAAGGAAATGCTAAATATAACATGCTAATGGTCACGAGTTTTATAAGGCTAAAAGTTTATCAGTAACGAATAAATCGATCTGGTTATTTAATATTTATAGTCCTTTTAATATTTCCTATTAAATTGCAAAAGTAATCGTATACAGTAACGCCCCTTTCTATGAATTTTTATATGGGTTAATAAAGGTGACGAATTTGTTTGTTAAAAATTGTTACTTATTGGTATTGCCCCCTTTGGGTGCAGTGTTTTTACCTAATAATAGAGCGGCATTGAATTTTTTCCGTTGGACCAGCGAGTGTAAAAATGTTCACAGTTATTTTATTTCCTTTTTCTTAAACAATTGGATATGAAAATGTGTAGTTTATCCAAAAACGTCTGTCAGATTACATATTATTTGCACATTAACGCATTAAGTGCCGGTGCAGTTATTGCGAAACTTGTAATTATAATTCAACAATGCTCGCATCTGCTACAAATCATACGCATATGAATATGACAACATAATGGCAAAGAATAATGGAATTAGTAAAGGTTGACACTATTTTAAGCCCGTTAATATTACCTTGTACATTACGAACGATCAGACGTAATAAATGTACGATTTAATTTATGATTTTCATCTTGCACTTTAATGTTTTTTGTTTTGAACAGTGAAACAATGCTATGGATGATTGATAAACTACAAACGGGTGGGAATAGATTTGAAATATCAAGGTATTCCGGCTCGCAATTTAATTAAACAATTAAACGTTACAACAATAAAATACGTACAGGTACATATGAATAATTAATGTGTCTAAAAATTTTAATTCTACATGCACGAAAAGGGAGCAGTGTCTCAAACACAAAATTGTTAACGTACACATTGTTACATTAAGAGCGTATTTATTTTTGTGAAAAAGCGCACCTAATTTTTCAATAGTTAAAAACATTATTTTGGCAGGCCCAATACATCAGATATATGTAAAAATGTTCGTAGAATTTAGTAGTGCAAACCGTTTTTGAATTGGATTCGAAATGATAAAGATATCATGACCTTAACTTCACATGAAATAAAACGGAGCGGATAATAAATAGTAAAAAAGCGCACCTAATTTTTCAGTACTTAAAAACATTATTTTGGCTGGTCCAATACATTAAATATATTTAAAAATGCTCGTAGAATTTAGTAGTGCAGACCGTTTTTGAATTGGATTCGAAATGATAAAGATATCACGAGTTGAACTTCACATGAAATAAATCGGAGTATAAAATAAATAGTAAAAAAGCGCACCTAATTTTTCAATACTTAAAAGTAGTTTTTTGGTTGGTTTAACACATCAAATATATGTAAAAATGTTTGTAGAATGTAGTAGTGCAAACCGTTTTTGAATTGGATTCGAAATGATAAAGATATCACGACTTGAACTTCACATGAAATAAAAAGGAGTGTAAAATAAATAGTAAAAAGGCGCACCTAATTTTTCAGTACTTAAAAATATTATTTTGGTAGGTTCAATACATTAAGTATATGTAAAAATGTTCGTAGAATCTCGTAGTGAAAACCGTTTTTCATTTGGATTCGAAATAACAAAGATATCACGATTTGAACTTCACATGAAATAAATCGGAGTATAAAATAAATAGTCAAAAAGCGCACCCAATTTCTCAATACTTAAAAGTAGTTTTTTGGTTGGTTTAACACATCAAATGTTTGTAAAAATATGTGTAGAATTTAATAGTAAACACCATTTGTGAATTGTATTTGAAAAGATTCAGTAGATATATATTGGTAAAAATAGTAAGTAATTCCTAAGTAACTAGTCGTAAGTTATAACAATTAATTTATTATTTGTTTCAGTTTGATCCGGCCATTCAGCGTTACAGTGCAATGATAATAAACCAATACGATTACTTCAGACCGACACCTAAGACGTCATTTATGGGGATAGTTCTTATCGTCATCCCCTTTTGTTCCTATTGGTACCTTTTGAAAACAACAAGGGAGAAAAGGGAGCAGCAGTACAGAAGTGGCGAAATCCCTTACAGCAAGCGTCTATTCAAGTTCATTTAAAATAATTGCTCCGATAGTGCTAAATTGCAATGTGTATTTATGTGATTCTGTAGTTCAATAAAGAATATCTTTTGAAAAAGTCTCCTCGATATTTTAAACATTAGGTAATTCCCCTATAAAATCCCATACTGACGCACTTGTTTGATGAAAGTAACAGTTGTCAATTTTTGACATTATTTGTGAAATGTAATCTTTCGGGTATAACATAAAGGAATCAAAATTTTTGAGTAGCAAATAAACAAAGCGAAGAAACAGAAAAAAAATGGAGTTGAGAATACCAAAAGGATGAGTGCTTCAGGGGCAGGAACAGTGCCTGAAATTAATGCAATTTTACCATCGTCATATTATAAATTAGCAATTAGATTGTGCATGGTTGTTTCTTCCCTTCTTCAAAATGTGGTTGGGGTCGCTGTGAGTTACCAGGTCGTAAGTTATGAGACGACAGGTGGTTACACAATTTATTTTTTTGCCTTGAACTTGTATTTGAACGGTCTGCTTATAAAATATGGAGAAATAAGTAAAGACCCTGTCTTAGTCTGGACGAATGGTATAAGAACTGCCATGAATGCTGTGTTTATTGTAATTTTTCTGGTGTATTCGATAAATCCCTGGACAGAGGTGTATTTGCCCCTATTCACGACGTTCCTGACCGCATTTTCTGTGTGCTGCTTGATACACGGGGAGCCTAGTTGCAGATGTAAAAAGAAAAGACGCTACACTTCTGCTATTGTACTTTTGTATCTTTTTTATACTTGCGAACCGCTATCTTTTTTGCCTAAAATGATGGAGAAAAGGAGTTCCGCACCAATTTCGTGGCCTGCGAGTGTTTTGGACGCCTCATTGTCTTTCTTTTCGATCTTATATTTCCGCCTACGAAAGGACAGTGGCATGCAAGTGACCTTTGCGTTGGTATTGATTGCCAGTCTAATGAAAATAATACTGTGCGTTCTATATTAGTGCTAAATATGTAACTTTTACACATTGTTTTCTATCATCAGTACGTACTCAATCCTTAACATAGAGCAGTCATTAAACTTTTCCTTTTTGGTGTATTTCTTAAAAAAGTACAAATACCGAGTCACAATTTTTACTTTAATGTCTCTTTTCTACGTATATACAAAATAATCTTAAATATAATGAATGATTACAGTAAATTCGTTTTAATTAATGATGTATGCAATTTATTCTAATTGTTTGTCTCTGGCAACCACAGCTTCGTCAAATTTGACCATATACGTTGTACCTTTATGCCAATGAGCTGATACTTTGGCAGTCTGAAACGATTAAGACAAGTTCTTTCTAAGCAAAAAGTCCTCAACTGATTTAGCAAATCAAATTGACACATACAAAACCTGTTCCAGTAAGAACAGCTTCAACTATGCCAGCAATGAATACAGCACAGTTAAGACTACCCTTGTCTCTAGGCACTGAAATGTACTTGTTAACAAGGGGTTCCTTTTCCATCAAATAATAGGTGCATTCATCATCGTTGGAATGTTCCAGTTTATCAGCTTCTCTTCCAAAAAGTGCCTTAGGAAATTTAATAGATGATAAAATACACACAAAATTGACTAGGAACTCACTTTCCAAAAGGTTGACTTTAAAAATAAGAGGATATTTAGTATTTTGGTTTCACGTTTGCCACCACGTTCTCTTAGGAAATACAGGTCAATAAGTTTAACTCCCACGTTTTTACCTAAACTATGAAGTCTGAAAAGGGGTAGTTTAGTAAATTTGATCCAGTTTCAATAACAAAATATGACTGTTTATTACCGATTTTGTAGCTCAGGTACAGTGTGAGATTTGTTTTGACAATATTGGACGATTTCAGCGAAGAGAAGAGCATAACAACTTAAGGATGCCTCACTTTTACCTCTACTGAGTGGTTTGTCTAATATACCAGTTCGAGAACGACCAGATAAACTCATTTTAACAATTTTTATTAAAACTTGTCTCTATTTTTCATCAAATTGTAGGTTATGTTACCCAAACGTCAGAATGGATTGCGTTCTTATTCTTCCTATTTGTCCGACCTTCATGAACTAGATCATTCAGCCAGTGCTGTATGTTAATTAAAAGAATGAAAAATTTCTAAGCTTTTTATTTATTAAAACAATTTAAACAGTAAAATAAAAAGTTGGTTTTATGCCCTAATCAAAAACCGTGCTGTTATTATTTTAAAATTAAGTATGAATTATGTAGAATACTTTTCTAAAGGATAGTGATCCCTATAATTTTCTAAATGTTTTTCCATTTCGTTCATTTGTTTCCTGTAATAATAGTTCAATATGAGAAAAGAAACAACAGTTCAGTTTAAAAGTTACCTTAAATGATGAGGTATTACCCCATAAACATCAGTAAACATTTCAGTCCATTTGGGTAATAATATTTTCTCAGCAGCATTAAAAGCTTCAAGAACATTTCTTTTAGTTAAATGTAACCATTCTTTTTCTTTCTCTTCATTCCACAAATTTTTATTTTCTAGATACAAGCGCAACTTTTTCACAGGATTATCATTTTGTATTCTTTCATCTACTTCCTTTTGTGATCGATAAGCTGTGCTATCGTCTGATGTGGAATGATGTCCAACCCTAATTAATTTTTAACTTAATTTTGCTACAACCTCTACCGCTGTATTAAACAATACCGTGGAATTTAGTGGGGCATCACATAAACAAAAAGAAAAACCGCACGCCAAATTTTATATAAAAAGATCATTCTAATAGATCAAAAACACCAAAAACAGGTAAAAATGTATGAAAAATCTAATGGTTCAACCCGCTTTTCAATTGGATTTGAAACAATAGAGCTACCGCGTTCAAAATTCTATGCAAAAAAAATGAGCAGTAAAAAAGCGCACTTAAAATTTCAGTACTTAAAAACACTTCATTGTAAGATCCAAAACATCAAATATATGTAAAAATGTATGAAAAATCTAATGGTTCAACCCGCTTTTCAATTGGATTTGAAACAATAGAGCTACAGCGTTTAAAGTTCTATGCAAAGAAAAACGATGTCGCAAATATGCAGTAAAAAGGCGCACTTAAAATTTCAGTACTTAAAAACACCTCATTGTAAGATCCAAAACATCATATATATGTAGTAATGTTTGAAGAATCTAACGGTTCAACCCGTTTTTCAATTGGATTAGAAACAATACAGCTACTGCGTTCAAAGTTCTATATAAAGAAAGGTAATGTCGCAGATTAAGCAGTAAAAAAGCGCACTTAAAATTTCAATACTTAATGACACACCATTGTTAGATCCAAAACATCAAATATATGTAAAAATGCTTGAAGAATCTAACGGCTCGAACCATTTATAAATTCGATTTGAAAGAATGCCATGAGCCAATAATTAAGTGCAACATTTATAGTTAATACCTATCCAAAAATTGCTTCAAAAAAACATATTTGTCAAATTACTCACCGGTTTCGGTGACCAAGGATAAGTTTCTGCATAATATGTTTTCACATTAACACTAAACTAAACTAAAGTTAATCGGTAATTAACGAAATCGTCAATAATCCGAACTACATCCGCGCACGCACTTGCCGGTAATAAAATTAACCGGGCACTCACTAATTAGTTTTCAATTAGAGAAGTACAATGTTAACCCATCTGCGAGACAAACACCACGACAAGCCGAATAAAACTGCCTTAAGGTTTGTTTATCAGTTTTAAAGAAGGTGCTAGAATGTATCTAAATAGCACGCAATGTCAGATGAATGATAAAACGACTTCAGACTTTCACTTCGATAAGTAGATAGGGCAAAAAATGTTAAGACGTTTGGGAGGTATATGATGCATACGTGTATATATATGTACATTTGCAGATGCCAGGGCAGAAGTAAATAATGACTAACATTTATACGTAAAATTGACGTTATTAATTGTAAAGAATATTTGAAAAGATGCACTTTTTAAATTTGATGGGAAGAATCAATGAAGATTAATTAAAAGAAAACATATAAAAATGGATAAACGGAAGTAAAAGTTAGAGACATTTTTTGTATTAAATTATGCCTGTAATCTAATAATACGATATAAATCCTAATCAGTGTCGGATCTTGGAAATTCGGGACGCAATGCATAAGTCTTTTTGGGGGGCCCTTTTCTGGTTGAACCACTCTAGAGAGCGAAGTTTTGCGCTTCTATACTTTAGAACTGGAAGGAAATTGTTCATAGTTTCGGGTCCAATTATGAATTATTTCTTTCGATTTCGTAAAAAAAAATTCATCAAAACACATATCACTTTACGAAACCCTGCCACCCTTTTACGTAATGTAAATTTAAATTGACTCAAATCATTGTAAAAAGAGAAATTTTCTGGTAGATCCTTACGGAAAATGAGCCCCCCCCCTGTCCGTGGTCCTTACGAAAGCAACTTTAAAAGACCGTTTCTCAAAAAGCAATATTTACTTAGAGACTCATTGAGACTATTAATTCAACACATCGAGAACTTCCAAAATCAAAACTTTCAATAAATTCAATAGTCGATAATTTTCCGTAAGGATCTAAAGGAGTCATTTGAAAATTGACTAATTTCCTTCAATTTCGCGAAAATACGAAATACACCTTGCCTCATACAAATTTAAATTAGACTGAAATCCAAATTGCGCGTAGTTATTGTAGCACCCACTAAATACCACAAAGATATTGAACGTACTTACTATGAGAAACAATTGTTATTTTCTCTTTCTCAACTTTCTTACCTGTACGTGAGGGCTTCTATAAGGACAGGCTTGCTCCTTTCCAAACAAAACTCCCTGGCGGCCTTTGTGGCATTATAGACGGCCAGCACGTCATTCCCATCAACCCTTACGGTTGTTATGCCGTATCCGGGACCCCTTACAGCGATCCCATCCCCTCTATATTGGTCTTCGGTTGGCGTTGATATTGCATATCCGTTATTTCGACAAAAGAAGATCACGGGGCAGTCGAGGGTCGCTGCAAAGTTGAACGCTGCATGTGCATCCCCTTCCGAAGCAGCCCCTTCACCGAAGTAACACATTACGACCCTGTTCTGGTTCTTCAGGGCGTAAGCGGACCCTGCAGCCTGAGGAATTTGGGTGGCCAGTGGGCTCGAAATCGTTACAAAGTTTAACCGTTTCGAACCATAATGAATTGGCATTTGTTTACCTTTTCCGGGGTCGAGGCAGTTTCCGTAACACTGATTCATTATCTCGCTCAGGGTGAAACCCCTCCATATCAGAACGCCGACCTCCCTGTATTGCCCGTAGACCAAATCGTTTAAGTCTAAAGCTGCGGCGCTGCCCATATGGGTCGCTTCTTCTCCATAATTCGTCATATAGAACGATATTCTGCCCTGTCGTTGGGATTCATAAAGGACTTTGTCCATGGTGTTTACGAGGATCATGTCTTTGTACATTTTTTCGAGTGTTGCGTTCTCTATGGCGGGTTCTTCAAACTTGTTTAAGATATTCCCGCGCGAATCGAGAACCCTATAAGTCGGGATGGGGCTAAAACAATCCGGGGACACGAAATCAAGCGTCGATGTCCATTTGATCTTGCTACCAACGTGGTCCTCGATATCATGCTTGAAGTGTGTTGATAAACACTAAAAATGGCTCGTATTTGTTTTACTTTACTAGATTTTGTTAATGGCACTATTACATAATAAAATGTATGATTACGATAAATTAATTAGATTAAACTACAATTGTTTATTTAGTAGACTCACCCTAAGAAGTTTTGGTTGTTTTAAACATTTATTAATAACGTTTTTTAACACTTTATCGAAAGCCATTTCCTCAACACGTCTTGTTCTCAACTAGACAGTACTCAATTGTTTTTAAATTTTGACCTAACGTCAGTTATCATTATTTGCATTATATGTAAATAACGTAATCATTATTATTACGAAAATTGTTTTCTGCTTTCAGCATAATCTCATCGGAGACTACCAACATAATCAGAGACTACGGCAGCGATAATGAAGTTGACGATGACGTAAATTTAATATGAAGTGACTTACCTGCATTTAAATATCATATGCATTTATCTATAAGGGAAAGTAAAAGTAAATAGGTAGTGAAAAGAAAATCCGTACATTTTTTTTTATTACATTTATGGTATGTATGTGTTACAATAATAGCATTAACTTAAACTTCGTTTATGGTAACTTATTATATGACATAATAATACATATATAAAAAAATAACAGGTAGATGATTTAGGTACGTCTATTATTTGTACAACGAAATAATAATTATCTAAGTAACTAACGTNATCACGAGAATTTTATTTTGATGGTCTATAATCTTCCAAACAAAAGGATAAACATGATTAAGATAACACTAATGTTATCTTTTCCAATTGTAACCTTATAATACGAAAGAAAAATTTGGGGGAACGTATTTTAATCAATTTTTTTTTACATAAACAAGTATTTTTTACCAAACCCCGGCAGGACAACAATTCCTTCCGGATAAAAAGTCCCATTAACTCCTTACGAACGCATGCAGTAAGTGTTGTGACTATGCGTTTGCAGTTGTATGTAAAAAAAATTTTTAGATTCTTCAGATTAACTTTTGCATAAACTTGCTTACACGTTTTGGATTATATTTGTAAGAAAACGAATCGCTTTTTAATCAGTTTATCTACCAATCAATTCACGATGACATAGTGTGCCTATATATAACAAGTATCACATTGTATTGTAAAATGGATATTTTTTTTTTTTTAATAAATTCAGACTTGACTTTCCAACATTTTTTGTATATGTATGTTNTTTGTCTAGGGCAGTGGTCTCCGTTCTCTTTTCTCTGCTGAGGGAGCGACTGTTGCTGTTCGAAATTCGGAGGTAGACTTTGGTAATCTCTGCTGTTGTTTATTGTCAGGTTTTCGAAACTGGCTTTAAGGCTCGGTGGAGGTGGTATGATGAAGGACATGAATATATATTTGTATATAATGCTACGTATGTCGTATAGTAAGAGATATTCCAGCAAAACGGAACAATAAATATATCTTAAAATTCTTCAAATATCAACAATCAATTAAAGTATCGATAACGCAACCAATACGGTCTTCGTACGTAATAAACCAAAGCCAGAACGTCAAAAATTCAACTTTGAGTACTTTGTATCATATGTGGTACTTAAGAAATAACTTTCTGTTTTGTCTCATGGTATTGTGTTTTTTTACCGAAATTTTACAAATATGGCTGCATTAGGGAAATTATTATTGTACCTAACTTTTCTTCTTTGGTTTAGTAGTCATTTTTACCATTTCAGACGCTTTCTTTTTGACGTGACAACGTCTTATAATTCGATGGAGCCGGCTGCACGCACAAAAAAACATGACTCATGCGGCGTTACCTCGCTCTGAGGCGTTCCATTTAAGGCTTGAAGTGCAAGCGAGAGCGCGGAACGAGCGACAAAGAGGCACAATCGGCCTCCGCGTTCGGCAGGGTTCGACATCTGTCTCTCTCCTACTTGAGTGAGCGATGCGTCCGCGTGGACAGCTGCTATACAATAATACATTTCCATTTACCTCCTCCTCTATATCCATACAAAATATCCATCAAACAAATAAAATTAAAATTTTCTTTTGAAAAATGAAACCATTCCATCAGTATTTTCTTATGACGTTGTCACGTTCAACTATCGTCAGTAAACCGACTTTACAGACAACCGATTTTTTCATCTACCTTTTGGATTTTGAATATTTAAAATACTTATTGGATACGAAGCACTTTCTTGTTAGTGCTTTACTTATTTTTGAAGTGTTTGGATAAAGTTTTCCTTTAAAATATACCTAAAGAACACAAATCCAAAGTGCCCAAAGTGGTAAAAACCACAAAGAAAAAGGCCAAAGCAAACGAAAATCCAATACCATCGTCAATTCAAGGATCAATTTGGTAAAACCCATTAATGAGACAAAACATTCACGATCAATAAACTGTTCCAAAAATCAAAAGTTGTAAATTATTGATAATCTTCTCGAAGAAAAAACGAGTTAATTAATCAACAAACAACGTCCCACGTCTGTCATAAAAAAATTAACAACGGATAATATCTAAAGAAATTTGTACCAGTACTAGCAGAACAGAGTGCCGCATCTTAGTACCTACATACTACGGGGAAAACACCCTTAAACTTCTCAAAAGCGTCGCCAAAACGCTCGCCAATTTTTCAGCTTCCGCGGCCAGATGCTCCTCGATGGCAGCCTGACAACTTCGATCGACATTCGAAGTGATCAAATGATGGAATGCGGCGGTAACATCGTGCACTTTTAAAATAAGATTTTTCGTTTGAAGGGGAGATGTCGTGTGATTTACCAGATCTTGGCAGAGTTCCGAAAGTCTCCTCAAAATAGTCAAGCAAACTGCTAAGTTTTCGGGAAGATCGGACAAAGCTGGATCGGACATTGTGATCACTAGCATTTTGCTCGACGTAACCAATTGCAAAGATTGAGATACCAACTCTTCCTTGACGGTCTGCGAGGAGAACAAAAGAACAACAATGAAAGTCTAGAAATGTGGGTGTATTTGATGAGGATCGGTGCGGGTTGAGGAGAACACCAAAGCCAACTATATAACTACTTAGATACTCGCATTTGACGAGCAAACGGCAGACAGCTGAAAATACAATAGAAATATTGAAAGCGACGCCGATGGGGGGGGGGGATCCAAGGAAAGGAAAACCCTTAACCTGGAAAGGAAAATAATGACAGTGACGACTCGTGGGCACAGGGAGAAAATTGACCAATGAAGCAACGAGTAAAACAGAAAAATAAAGTGAAAAAGGGGCTGTATCTTTATCACTCTATGCGTCAGCCGTCACTGGCTAGGAAGTCTGAAAAGTTAGTGCACTTACCTGAAATTTATCTTCGCACATCATCTTCCCTCCTCCATGGACCTGGGCAGCGTTACATTGGTTGGCGATTTGGTTGATCCTGTCTAAAAGGCTCGTCATTGCCACATCTGTCTTGCTTAGAAGACTCCCGTTGGTCGACGTACAACCGTTTTGTACAATTGTTTCCCCTCTGTCCCGTTCCCGTTCTTTCATGCAGACGTTTCCGTTCCCGATTTTCGGCGAATGTAACCCGTTACTTTGCAATATTTTCGGACTCTCCGGTGAGCTGATGGGAACGATGGTGAGTTGCGAACCCCTGCCCAAAAAGGGAGACGTCGGAGTACTAACGGCTGCCCTTTCCTCTTTCAATCCCAAACTGATTTCCAGATCGCTGTAGCAGTGCTTGTTCCTCTGAAGATGCGGGGAGCCGATGCAAGCTGTTCGTCGTTCCGAATTGTTTTTGGATTCCGCGCTTGCCAGTATCCTGCTTCTTAATACTTCCAGCGGTGGTATCGGAGGCAAGGGGGGTTTCTTGGGCGGTAGAAACAAATGAGGAGGTGCTTGAGAATTCTCGGTTCTCGGAGGTAGCGTCGGAGCTGGTTCGTTTTGGAGTTTGAAAGATGCAGACGACAGAGAATGCGAACGTTGCCTTTCGGGAGTTGTCGGTTTGGGTGGTCTATCGGGAGGCTTTTCTTCCGATCCTCTTCTGGGAGGAGGAGGCGGTTGAGACGTTTCTTTGGCTTGTTCTTCTTCTGACAGTTCGTTGGTTTTGCTGGTTTTGGCCCGACTGCAGCAGGAGAAAGGTCCTTTTCTATCTACCGTGGCGTATTCTATGACGTTTTGTCTAGGGCAGTGGTCTCCGTTCTCTTTTCTCTGCTGAGGGAGCGACTGTTGCTGTTCGAAATTCGGAGGTAGACTTTGGTAATCTCTGCTGTTGTTTATTGTCAGGTTTTCGAAACTGGCTTTAAGGCTCGGTGGAGGTGGTATGATAAAGGACATGATCTCTTCGGGGGTGAGTTCGACGGCGGGGGTGAGCTTTTGGGTGGGCGGTGGTACCGTGACGTTGGCCAGGAACGCTTCGAGATCGAACGTTTTGTCGTCGATCCTGTTGATGTTTTCCAACGAGTCGGCAAACGAGGTCGGCGGCTGGTTCACGATCATTAAGGCACTGTCCAGTTCGTCTGGAGTTGCTGGTGGTGGTATGAGGGTCAGATCGGTGATATCCGGATCGAAATCGTACAAACTTGCCAGGTTTTCGGTGTCGGAATCCATGGAATCGGCGTTAGAGTTCTTGAGCTTTTGGAGGTACGCTTTCAGGTCTTCGTCTTTGGTGGTTTTGACGTCCTCGGGACTACGCAGACCGAAACTGAACCTCTCCTGTTGCCTGTTCTGTTTCTCTCCTCCTCCGAGCTTGCTCATCTTGTGCACTGGTGAGTTGTTGGGCGTTCCGATGGAATCGTTATCGCTTTCCGACTGGTTCAATTCAGATCGGAGTAACTCTATGGCAGCGTTCATGCATTGTTTGTTGACCGCCTGTTTTCGTCCCTGTATCAGCAGTAGGAGCGAGTCGCTGTGTTTCAAGGTTCCGGGAGCGTCATCGTGACCGTCGAGATCACTGTCGAAATCCACGCTCGTTTCTTGCCATTCCGATTCCGAATTCAGTTGATTGTATTGTTCTTGCTCGTTCAGGTATTTTTCCGAATTTTCGACCAGCTGATGCATTTCCCTTACTCTTCGCAGTACCTCTTCGTTTTTGGCCTCGACGACGCCGCCTTCCAATACTTCCAGCGACGTGACGCTCTGCAAATCGTACGAGTTCGACTTGTCTCTGACGAAGTGGTTCTTGAGTCTTTCGTGGTTCCTGTTGCTCGCCAGGGTGTTGTTCATGTTGCTGTCGAGACTCAAGCCGGTCATGAAGGGCGGTTTGCTCTGACGACCGACTGTATTATACAGACCGTTCGTCTTGTGGTTGATGTTCTTGTAGATGGGGTGCATAGCGAAGCACATCGCCTTTATTTGATTCTGAGTTATGTAGCTCCATTTCTCTGGGATCACGCGATGCTGGGACAGATACGGAGGTGCGAGGTCTTCCATTCGCGGAACTTCTTCTTGTTCGACAGGAAGAACTTTTCCGGCCATGATGTGATAATAACCTCTTAGAACTAGTACCAGTTCAGAAGCGTCACGCTCCTCTAGTGCTATGGTAACCACCTTGTCGTTCTCGAGTTGTACCAGAACAGTCCGAGTGAGTTCGTCGTCAGTCTTGACCTGGATGCGCTTTATGTCTTCTATATTTGCTATAGGAACTGGCTGGAACACCAAAAAGGGGGGACACACAATAAATGCCAATGTTCGCGTACCTAACGNCTGATGTTTTTTGCTGCTCCAATATTTTAATTGTATTTTGTTACGTATCTTACTCATATCTTGAGATACTGCTGGATCAATTTGATTATATAAAAAGTATTTTTTTAATAGTTTCGCTGCATCAAGTGCTTGTTCGATGCTTGGTGGAGGGACAAGATCGTCTTCTTCAACAACGTACACAGCTGCAGTTCTTATCTATTTCGGCAACTTAGAAAGTACTGCTTAATGATTTGTAATGCCGCATTGTTGTCGTTAAATAGAGTGAGCGTGACGCTATATAGAGTGTAATATTGTATAGAAAACAGTGTAAACCAACCAAAGTTAAGCAATTTCGACGTTTTAAGGAGTTTGTCGTTAAATCGAGTGACGTTATAAAGAGTTTACACTGTATGTTATTGATGAAGAACGACTATTGTTTCGATGCGCTGTACTTGTACTAACTTTGGCTGAATTTTATACTGAATATTCTAGAGAAATGACCAACTGCATCTATATTTCTAATATATTTGGCCATTTAACAATAAATATGCATTATCGTTTCGAATTTTATGTATTTCTAAAGATTTAAGAACATTTTTAGTTCAGAATCAAACAAGTAATTGGTTTCTAGTAAATTGGCATTATGTGCTCTTTTATTCTAGTATTAAAAGTTCCACCTGTCTGTCCAATGTAACATTTATTAGAAGAACGGAAACTTAATGTACTTATAAATATATGATTTTTGTAAACTGGCTGGTTTAGCATTATTATTTTTGATAACTCTACTTCATTTATGAATGAAACTTATTATTACGTTTTTAATAATTGTGTAAATTATAGATAAATGATATTGTTTATGTATGTACGTACCATTAAACTTGCTTTATATTAGCAAATTTGAATAATTAGTTATTAGGAAAGCAAGTCTAAAAGATTACCAAGTTGTAGAGGAAATTGAAATTCCTATAGCAGTTGTAGATATTCGAAAGATTTATTCCTTTTGGCGAAAATTCTCAATGTACTACGTAAGTGCTACGAAAACAGATTTGATAATATCAATAGGTTTCTTGATTAATCAATACCTACTGTGTTCTTTTGTTACTTTCGTGATTGAGATACGAACTTTTGCAATTCGCGAAGGAAAAACAAAATTCTTTCCAATCTGACAGAAAAGAAAAGTCAAGAATAGTTATTATATGTATATTACAATTGATTAAATTGGAATATTTTAAAGTAAAACAGATATAAATGCGTGGTAATAGGTGTACTTATGTTCTTTTTTATTTATTATACGGTTTTCCAGTAAGAACAGGATTTTCTATTAATCCGACAACATCCTTTTGAATGTATGTCTCATAAATTGAAAACGGCGAAGCATTATGTGAGGCGATGAGGGTCTCATACGGATATCATAACATAAGACGGGAATGATGTTTTGAATTTATGGCCAAAATTTTTTATACCTGAAATTTGGTTGAAAGGACATATATTTTAGCAATTTGTTTGATGGCGTGCACCATATCGCGTGTAACATTTTATTTAACTGCTTCCTTGTTCGAAGCTGCATGAAGAAAAACGATTTCAGAATTTATTAGATAAGTGGGTAGCAAATGCTATGTGACAATATTCACTCACTTAATGTAATATGTTCTTCCCGAGTCATCCAAAGCCCTTTCCCATCCGTACGGGATACAATCTTCCCCTGCTTTCCAGGCATTGGCGGGTGGGAGCCAGCTTGCCGTTCTGGTTACATGACTGAAACAAAACAAAATCGTTTTTTAGTTGCTATAAAAAACAACTGAAGCACCAAAAAGAAAAAAAAATAGCATCGGTATACGTTGTAAAACAATGTGAACGTAAGGGATCATTTAGGCTTGTAATTTTCCGATCGGAATTGTTTCTGTGACAAAAAAGGATGTGAGGCGTAAAAAATTACAAAGAACTGTTTAGAATTCGACTGTGAAAAATTGTTTTTGGTTAATTTAACCGTCGACGTTTTCGTTAAACCTTTAACGTTCCCGAATCTATTAGAAAGTTTCGGTGCAACCTCAAAAAAGCGTTTTAATGGATTTTAAAAGAGCAAAAATACCCTAATGACTGTCACCCTCAAGATTGAGCGTCTCTTTATGCCTACGCTTGCTGGCAAGATCCGAGCGAATCCCGGGGGAATTACACAAGATTTAGGACTCTTTCGGGCAGCACATCGTCTCCTTCACATCCCTCTTATTTTATATACGGGGCTACTTTGAAAAGAAAAAGAATTTGTGTTGGTTTATAAACAGTTTATTTCATTACTAGGTTTTACTCGCGGTTTCGTTCGCTTCGATCTCCTAAATGCTGGTTAAGGATCATCGACGACCACATAAAATTAATTTTTTTTCTATCCCTCGGGAACAATATTTTTTTCTGGATAAAAGGTACTCTAAGTCACGTGCAATATCTCAAATATGCTCTACGAAAGAAAGCGGTCTGAAATATATAGCCGGTTCTTCGGTTCTTCCCTGTCATGTATTTTCGAGGGTTCTAACGTAAATTACCCGACCCATCAAATATTTTAAGCCGTTTAACGCAGATTTATGCGAACAAACCATCAAAAAATATCCACATACGTGTTTGGTTTTTCGAATTCGTCGAAATAGGCAAACAGAGAAATTAATTTACGCTTATGTAAAACCAACGATGTGAAAATTCTGCAACGGGATATTCAAATTCACTCATTCGCAAAGAGCGAAATTCATTTAAAAATGACGTCAACTATTATCACATTTGTGTTGTGGCAAATAAAATTCAGCTTAATTAATGGACTATTATAATTATTGTTTGTTTGCATTTCACATGCATATTTAAATAGTCCATTACTGTATCATTTAATTACTCGAATTTTTACTCAAAAGCAATAATTGTTTAAATAAAATTTACAGTAGGGCGAGTTGTGGGGCGGTTTTCTGGCACTTGATCATCATAAGGTCATCAGTCCTAAGACTGGCTGGACACGCACCTCCACTCTTTCGCATCCTGAGTTAATCTTCACATTGCAAAAAAAAAACTTTTGGGCGTTTCATTCCCACCAGCCACTAGTGCTGGTGGGCGGGCAGTCCCTCCGGACTACGCCGGAAGGCCCTCTTCAGCCTGCTTTCAGGAATCGTGGGAATGGGTGGGTGGTGGTTCGGGTGAGAAAGATGACTCGGACGAAATGAAGACAGAAGAGAATGAAAGATTATCTNAAGTTTAACCGTTTCGAACCATAATGAATTGGCATTTGTTTACCCTTTCCGGGGTCGAGGCAGTTTCCGTAACACTGATTCATTATCTCGCTCAGGGTGAAACCCCTCCATATCAGAACGCCGACCTCCCTGTATTGCCCGTAGACCAAATCGTTTAAGTCTAAAGCTGCGGCGCTGCCCATATGGGTCGCTTCTTCTCCATAATTCGTCATATAGAACGATATTCTGCCCTGTCGTTGGGATTCATAAAGGACTTTGTCCATGGTGTTTACGAGGATCATGTCTTTGTACATTTTTTCGAGTGTTGCGTTCTCTATGGCGGGTTCTTCAAACTTGTTTAAGATATTCCCGCGCGAATCGAGAACCCTATAAGTCGGGATGGGGCTAAAACAATCCGGGGACACGAAATCAAGCGTCGATGTCCATTTGATCTTGCTACCAACGTGGTCCTCGATATCATGCTTGAAGTGTGTTGATAAACACTAAAAATGGCTCGTATTTGTTTTACTTTACTAGATTTTGTTAATGGCACTATTACATAATAAAATGTATGATTACGATAAATTAATTAGATTAAACTACAATTGTTTATTTAGTAGACTCACCCTAAGAAGTTTTGGTTGTTTTAAACATTTATTAATAACGTTTTTTAACACTTTATCGAAAGCCATTTCCTCAACACGTCTTGTTCTCAACTAGACAGTACTCAATTGTTTTTAAATTTTGACCTAACGTCAGTTATCATTATTTGCATTATATGTAAATAACGTAATCATTATTATTACGAAAATTGTTTTCTGCTTTCAGCATAATCTCATCGGAGACTACCAACATAATCAGAGACTACGGCAGCGATAATGAAGTTGACGATGACGTAAATTTAATATGAAGTGACTTACCTGCATTTAAATATCATATGCATTTATCTATAAGGGAAAGTAAAAGTAAATAGGTAGTGAAAAGAAAATCCGTACATTTTTTTTTATTACATTTATGGTATGTATGTGTTACAATAATAGCATTAACTTAAACTTCGTTTATGGTAACTTATTATATGACATAATAATACATATATAAAAAAATAACAGGTAGATGATTTAGGTACGTCTATTATTTGTACAACGAAATAATAATTATCTAAGTAACTAACGTTATGGTATAAACGATTTCAAATGTGATACTTTCTTCAATAAATAATGATAAGAAAACAAAAACAATAAATTAAGTGGTCAGTTTTCCGTTTAAATGTGTAACAACGTACAATAAAAATATTATTATTGTGTAGATTACATTTAGCGTTCTTCTTTTGTTTTTAATTTGAAACAATAATTATCTAAGTAACTAACGTTATGGTATAAACGATTTCAAATGTGATACTTTCTTCAATAAATAATGATAAGAAAACANGGGGGGGGGGGGGAATCCAAGGAAAGGAAAACCCTTAACCTGGAAAGGAAAATAATGACAGTGACGGCTCGTGGGCACAGGGAGAAAACTGACCAAAGAAGCAACGAGTAAAGCAGAAAAATAAAGTGAAAAAGGGGCTGTATCTTTATCACTCTATGCGTCAGCCGTCACTGGCTAGGAAGTCTGAAAAGTTAGTGCACTTACCTGAAATTTATCTTCGCACATCATCTTCCCTCCTCCATGGACCTGGGCAGCGTTACATTGGTTGGCGATTTGGTTGATCCTGTCTAGAAGGCTCGTCATTGCCACGTCTGTCTTGTTTAGAAGACTCCCGTTGGTCGACGTACAACCGTTTTGTACAATTGTTTCCCCTCTGTCCCGTTCCCGTTCTTTCATGCAGACGTTTCCGTTCCCGATTTTCGGCGAATGTAACCCGTTACTTTGCAATATTTTCGGACTCTCCGGTGAGCTGATGGGAACGATGGTGAGTTGCGATCCCCTGCCCAAAAAGGGAGACGTCGGAGTACTAACGGCTGCCCTTTCCTCTTTCAATCCCAAACTGATTTCCAGATCGCTGTAGCAGTGCTTGTTCCTCTGAAGATGCGGGGAGCCGATGCAAGCTGTTCGTCGTTCCGAATTGTTTTTGGATTCCGCGCTTGCCAGTATCCTGCTTCTTAATACTTCCAGCGGTGGTATCGGAGGCAAGGGGGGTTTCTTGGGCGGTAGAAACAAATGAGGAGGTGCTTGAGAATTCTCGGTTCTCGGAGGTAGCGTCGGAGCTGGTTCGTTTTGGAGTTTGAAAGATGCAGACGACAGAGAATGCGAACGTTGCCTTTCGGGAGTTGTCGGTTTGGGTGGTCTATCGGGAGGCTTTTCTTCCGATCCTCTTCTGGGAGGAGGAGGCGGTTGAGACGTTTCTTTGGCTTGTTCTTCTTCTGACAGTTCGTTGGTTTTGCTGGTTTTGGCCCGACTGCAGCAGGAGAAAGGTCCTTTTCTATCTACCGTGGCGTATTCTATGACGTTTTGTCTAGGGCAGTGGTCTCCGTTCTCTTTTCTCTGCTGAGGGAGCGACTGTTGCTGTTCGAAATTCGGAGGTAGACTTTGGTAATCTCTGCTGTTGTTTATTGTCAGGTTTTCGAAACTGGCTTTAAGGCTCGGTGGAGGTGGTATGATAAAGGACATGATCTCTTCGGGGGTGAGTTCGACGGCGGGGGTGAGCTTTTGGGTGGGCGGTGGTACCGTGACGTTGGCCAGGAACGCTTCGAGATCGAACGTTTTGTCGTCGATCCTGTTGATGTTTTCCAACGAGTCGGCAAACGAGGTCGGCGGCTGGTTCACGATCATTAAGGCACTGTCCAGTTCGTCTGGAGTTGCTGGTGGTGGTATGAGGGTCAGATCGGTGATATCCGGATCGAAATCGTACAAACTTGCCAGGTTTTCGGTGTCGGAATCCATGGAATCGGCGTTAGAGTTCTTGAGCTTTTGGAGGTACGCTTTCAGGTCTTCGTCTTTGGTGGTTTTGACGTCCTCGGGACTACGCAGACCGAAACTGAACCTCTCCTGTTGCCTGTTCTGTTTCTCTCCTCCTCCGAGCTTGCTCATCTTGTGCACTGGTGAGTTGTTGGGCGTTCCGATGGAATCGTTATCGCTTTCCGACTGGTTCAATTCAGATCGGAGTAACTCTATGGCAGCGTTCATGCATTGTTTGTTGACCGCCTGTTTTCGTCCCTGTATCAGCAGTAGGAGCGAGTCGCTGTGTTTCAAGGTTCCGGGAGCGTCATCGTGACCGTCGAGATCACTGTCGAAATCCACGCTCGTTTCTTGCCATTCCGATTCCGAATTCAGTTGATTGTATTGTTCTTGCTCGTTCAGGTATTTTTCCGAATTTTCGACCAGCTGATGCATTTCCCTTACTCTTCGCAGTACCTCTTCGTTTTTGGCCTCGACGACGCCGCCTTCCAATACTTCCAGCGACGTGACGCTCTGCAAATCGTACGAGTTCGACTTGTCTCTGACGAAGTGGTTCTTGAGTCTTTCGTGGTTCCTGTTGCTCGCCAGGGTGTTGTTCATGTTGCTGTCGAGACTCAAGCCGGTCATGAAGGGCGGTTTGCTCTGACGACCGACTGTATTATACAGACCGTTCGTCTTGTGGTTGATGTTCTTGTAGATGGGGTGCATAGCGAAGCACATCGCCTTTATTTGATTCTGAGTTATGTAGCTCCATTTCTCTGGGATCACGCGATGCTGGGACAGATACGGAGGTGCGAGGTCTTCCATTCGCGGAACTTCTTCTTGTTCGACAGGAAGAACTTTTCCGGCCATGATGTGATAATAACCTCTTAGAACTAGTACCAGTTCAGAAGCGTCACGCTCCTCTAGTGCTATGGTAACCACCTTGTCGTTCTCGAGTTGTACCAGAACAGTCCGAGTGAGTTCGTCGTCAGTCTTGACCTGGATGCGCTTTATGTCTTCTATATTTGCTATAGGAACTGGCTGGAACACCAAAAAGGGGGGACACACAATAAATGCCAATGTTCGCGTACCTAACGGATGGTACTCACTACGGTGCTTCTGGCTCCGATTATCTGACTGAGCCCGAATTTCGGACTGACCAATATCACTCTTTCCAGCGAGTCACCTCTCGGCCCGGCGGAGAAACACTTGGCTCCATAGCTCGGCAGTTGGCTGACCAAGTCCAAATAGTGAAGTTTAGCCTGAAGAGCGGTCAAGGGTTTACCGGAACCGGCCATATTCGAGTGCAATTTGAGGAAATGAGCTAGAAACTTGTGAACCTCTTTGCGTTTCATGTTTTCCAAAAGGGACGCCGGTACGAACCGTTCTAAACCAAATTCTTTTCTAGACAAGAAATGACTATGTATGATGATTAGTTATGAGTAAGGTCCAGGACCAAAACTGTCCCAACATTGGTATTGGTTTTAGTCTTGGTCTTGTTCGTTGGTCTCAGTCTTGGTCTTACCAATATATAGACAGTTTTGGTCTTGTAATTCCGTAAAATCAAGACCAAGCTTTTGATCATCAGTAATGATGACGACAAAAGTACTAGGCAATTAAATTGGGAAAGACGAAATACTCACTCCACATTCTTTATCGTGAGTTTTGAAAGAGGCACATTATGAGCTATGGAATGTTGGTAGATATGGAGTGCGGCCAGTTGCAGAGCCGTGTCGTACTGCAGCTCGGGGGCGAACCTCTCCTGGGTCACGTCGTTGCAACATTGGGCGTAGAGATAGTCCAGACCGGCTAAGTCTTTTTGCGCAAGCGTGGCTGGAGACGAAGGCACGAACGCTATCCGAAACAAGCATCGCAGTTTGTGTGCACCCGGTTTAGCGGCGATCTAATTATTATAAATTGTTAAAGATTTTCGGAGCGACGTGGTGAACTGGTGCTGTCCTGATTGTCTTCGGTTGGAGTTGGTTTCTAACGTTTCGCTAACACGAGTGGCGAACTCCAATGAAGGCTAATTTTCTGTACTGTTTTACCCCTTCCACGTCTACTCTGACGTCACGATCGTTAGCTATCTTTGACATAAGGAGCGCCTTATGATTAGAAAGCAACAGATGAAGGAGCTTCAGGGGGCCGGAGCACATGCAGAAGGAACGGGCCGAAACCCTGGCTGATGATGACATCTATCCCATCCACGTCTACTCTGACGTCACGATCGTCAGCTATCTTTGACATAAGAAGCACCTTATGATCAGGAAGCAACAGATGAAGAGGCTTCAGAAGGCCGGAACACCTGCAGAAGGAACGGGGGTCGACGATAACAGCCGTCAAATATCAGAGTAGTCGGGGAGGAGGTAAGAGTACAGAAAGGAAGAAAATGAATCCTCATAAGTAAGTACATGGGATTTTGGCCTAGAACTGTCATTCCTTATCTACTGATGTAGACTGTTTATATTTGGAATGCGGCCAGGAGATCGTCTACATCCAGCACCAGAGATGGAAGGACTATGAAGAAGTTCGCCACTCGCGTTAGCGAAACGTTAGGGAGCAACCCTTAATTAGGACAAAACCAGTTCCGTTTTTATTAATCCAGCCGGAAAAAAAGGTCAAACACACACAAACCCTGGCTAACGTGTCGTTGGGATCTAGAAGAGTCAGTTTGTTCCGCCTGAGCGATTTGATGTGTTCAACGACCAGACTGAAGTGTTCGGTGGCTTGTATGCAAAGTTTGTTTTGGAGAGACGTGACCACGTCTTTGACCGTTGTCCACGCGTCGTACTTGAACGATTTGGTCTGGCCGTTCTCGAGGAAAACCTTGAGCACGTTGGCCATCGGAGGAACACAAACGTCGCTTAGAGAAAACGCAGACGGCTAAACAGAACGTCACGTCAGAAAAAGGGCTTAGAGATACGAGACGGGGGCGAAAGTTGTCTACTTACTGGAAACAAGGGCGCGCCGTTGACGCAAACACTTTCGGCAAACCTGACCCTAGGCGGTTTGCTTTTAAGTCTTGCACGTTTGCTCGCGGAAAGCAAAGTGGACTTTCTGATACCAGTCTGTTCGGCAGGTTGACATACTTTCAAAGTTACGGTTGACGAACAAGCTCTCACCAACGAAATAACGTGTTCCCTGGGAGCTGCCTTCACGTCTTCCCCGTTTACTGCGAGGATCTGGTCTCCTGGAAGAAGCTAGAGAGAGAAATGCGAAGTTTAAACTTTGCCGGATATTGAATTTGTCGTATTCGATGATGACGAACTTTGGTGAAGAACAAGATTGAACGACTTTTGGAAATAAACATTTGTAATACTCGGAGAACGGAAACGTGGGATTATTCTCGATATTTATGATTAAGTTTGTAAGTATTAAGGCCAGAAACATTTGATAATCAATTTAGGAAACTTTCCTGTGTAAGATGGGTCGACCAGGTAATTGAAAATATGCGGAAAATATCTAAGTGGCTATAGTTCCAAGTCCTTTATATCTCAAGTTTTACGATTGAAAAAGTTAAATAGTAAAAATTATCAATTAAGGATTTTTGTCAATAAATATGAAAATTGGTTGATTCTTGATATCCCAAGTTAATTTTGGGAAAGTTTGATCACTAGAATTATGAATAGGAACAATTTTTTGCCTGTTAGAAACTGGAAGACGGGCAAATTAATCCCAATCGTTGATATTCCAGATTCATGTTGACGAATAATCATCAATTCGATAAAATTTTCCGGCGAGCACTTATACACCTGTTGGGAAAATTGCTTACCTTGTTAACGCTGGGTCCGCCGTCTGTAACGAACCTAACAACCACCGGCTTTTCAGAGCCCGCAACAAACCCGAACCCCATTTGCGGAGACCTTTCTAAGGTAATGATTCGCGGTTCCGGACATGTGAGTGGTTCGTGACTTTTTACAGACGGATTTTCGTACGTTGTCGTCTTGTTTGTATGACTGCAAAAGAATCAAGAGATCAAGAGAGATAGAGAAAAATTCGGTAGTAACGGAACACGTTTCGAACATTTTTTAAAACTCGTGTGTATGGTGAAGCTCAAAAACGGAAATTATGTATCGTAGTATATTCATAAATGATTAATACGTTTGGTACATTTACATCTTCTGTTACTTCCGAATGTTTTCCTTTTTCTCTCAAAAAATACTTTTTTTTTATTTATTTAAATNATTAAGGATTTTTGTCAATAAATATGAAAATTGGTTGATTCTTGATATCCCAAGTTAATTTTGGGAAAGTTTGATCACTAGAATTATGAATAGGAACAATTTTTTCTTGTGTGAATTTGCCTGTTAGAAACTAGAGGATGGGCAAATTTTTGTCAATAAATATGAAAATTGGTTGATTCTTGATATCCCAAGTTAATTTTGGGAAAGTTTGATCACTAGAGTTATGAATAGGAACAATTTTTTCTTGTGTGAATTTGCCTGTTAGAAACTAGAGGATGGGCAAATTATTTACAGTTCTTGAGATTCCAGATTTATGTTGACGTAATTGAAAATATGCGGAAATGGTTGTAGTTCCAAGTCCTTTATATCTCAAGTTTTACGATTGAAAAAGTTAAATAGTAAAAATTATCAATTAAGGATTTTCCTAACGGATGGTACTCACTACGGTGCTTCTGGCTCCGATTATCTGACTGAGCCCGAATTTCGGACTGACCAATATCACTCTTTCCAGCGAGTCACCTCTCGGCCCGGCGGAGAAACACTTGGCTCCATAGCTCGGCAGTTGGCTGACCAAGTCCAAATAGTGAAGTTTAGCCTGAAGAGCGGTCAAGGGTTTACCGGAACCGGCCATATTCGAGTGCAATTTGAGGAAATGAGCTAGAAACTTGTGAACCTCTTTGCGTTTCATGTTTTCCAAAAGGGACGCCGGTACGAACCGTTCTAAACCAAATTCTTTTCTAGACAAGAAATGACTATGTATGATGATTAGTTATGAGTAAGGTCCAGGACCAAAACTGTCCCAACATTGGTATTGGTTTTAGTCTTGGTCTTGTTCGTTGGTCTCAGTCTTGGTCTTACCAATATATAGACAGTTTTGGTCTTGTAATTCCGTAAAATCAAGACCAAGCTTTTGATCATCAGTAATGATGACGACAAAAGTACTAGGCAATTAAATTGGGAAAGACGAAATACTCACTCCACATTCTTTATCGTGAGTTTTGAAAGAGGCACATTATGAGCTATGGAATGTTGGTAGATATGGAGTGCGGCCAGTTGCAGAGCCGTGTCGTACTGCAGCTCGGGGGCGAACCTCTCCTGGGTCACGTCGTTGCAACATTGGGCGTAGAGATAGTCCAGACCGGCTAAGTCTTTTTGCGCAAGCGTGGCTGGAGACGAAGGCACGAACGCTATCCGAAACAAGCATCGCAGTTTGTGTGCACCCGGTTTAGCGGCGATCTAATTATTATAAATTGTTAAAGATTTTCGGAGCGACGTGGTGAACTGGTGCTGTCCTGATTGTCTTCGGTTGGAGTTGGTTTCTAACGTTTCGCTAACACGAGTGGCGAACTCCAATGAAGGCTAATTTTCTGTACTGTTTTACCCCTTCCACGTCTACTCTGACGTCACGATCGTTAGCTATCTTTGACATAAGGAGCGCCTTATGATTAGAAAGCAACAGATGAAGGAGCTTCAGGGGGCCGGAGCACATGCAGAAGGAACGGGCCGAAACCCTGGCTGATGATGACATCTATCCCATCCACGTCTACTCTGACGTCACGATCGTCAGCTATCTTTGACATAAGAAGCACCTTATGATCAGGAAGCAACAGATGAAGAGGCTTCAGAAGGCCGGAACACCTGCAGAAGGAACGGGGGTCGACGATAACAGCCGTCAAATATCAGAGTAGTCGGGGAGGAGGTAAGAGTACAGAAAGGAAGAAAATGAATCCTCATAAGTAAGTACATGGGATTTTGGCCTAGAACTGTCATTCCTTATCTACTGATGTAGACTGTTTATATTTGGAATGCGGCCAGGAGATCGTCTACATCCAGCACCAGAGATGGAAGGACTATGAAGAAGTTCGCCACTCGCGTTAGCGAAACGTTAGGGAGCAACCCTTAATTAGGACAAAACCAGTTCCGTTTTTATTAATCCAGCCGGAAAAAAAGGTCAAACACACACAAACCCTGGCTAACGTGTCGTTGGGATCTAGAAGAGTCAGTTTGTTCCGCCTGAGCGATTTGATGTGTTCAACGACCAGACTGAAGTGTTCGGTGGCTTGTATGCAAAGTTTGTTTTGGAGAGACGTGACCACATCTTTGACCGTTGTCCACGCGTCGTACTTGAACGATTTGGTCTGGCCATTCTCGAGGAAAACCTTGAGCACGTTGGCCATCGGAGGAACACAAACGTCGCTTAGAGAAAACGCAGACGGCTAAACAGAACGTCACGTCAGAAAAAGGGCTTAGAGATACGAGACGGGGGCGAAAGTTGTCTACTTACTGGAAACAAGGGCGCGCCGTTGACGCAAACACTTTCGGCAAACCTGACCCTAGGCGGTTTGCTTTTAAGTCTTGCACGTTTGCTCGCGGAAAGCAAAGTGGACTTTCTGATACCAGTCTGTTCGGCAGGTTGACATACTTTCAAAGTTACGGTTGACGAACAAGCTCTCACCAACGAAATAACGTGTTCCCTGGGAGCTGCCTTCACGTCTTCCCCGTTTACTGCGAGGATCTGGTCTCCTGGAAGAAGCTAGAGAGAGAAATGCGAAGTTTAAACTTTGCCGGATATTGAATTTGTCGTATTCGATGATGACGAACTTTGGTGAAGAACAAGATTGAACGACTTTTGGAAATAAACATTTGTAATACTCGGAGAACGGAAACGTGGGATTATTCTCGATATTTATGATTAAGTTTGTAAGTATTAAGGCCAGAAACATTTGATAATCAATTTAGGAAACTTTCCTGTGTAAGATGGGTCGACCAGGTAATTGAAAATATGCGGAAAATATCTAAGTGGCTATAGTTCCAAGTCCTTTATATCTCAAGTTTTACGATTGAAAAAGTTAAATAGTAAAAATTATCAATTAAGGATTTTTGTCAATAAATATGAAAATTGGTTGATTCTTGATATCCCAAGTTAATTTTGGGAAAGTTTGATCACTAGAATTATGAATAGGAACAATTTTTTGCCTGTTAGAAACTGGAAGACGGGCAAATTAATCCCAATCGTTGATATTCCAGATTCATGTTGACGAATAATCATCAATTCGATAAAATTTTCCGGCGAGCACTTATACACCTGTTGGGAAAATTGCTTACCTTGTTAACGCTGGGTCCGCCGTCTGTAACGAACCTAACAACCACCGGCTTTTCAGAGCCCGCAACAAACCCGAACCCCATTTGCGGAGACCTTTCTAAGGTAATGATTCGCGGTTCCGGACATGTGAGTGGTTCGTGACTTTTTACAGACGGATTTTCGTACGTTGTCGTCTTGTTTGTATGACTGCAAAAGAATCAAGAGATCAAGAGAGATAGAGAAAAATTCGGTAGTAACGGAACACGTTTCGAACATTTTTTAAAACTCGTGTGTATGGTGAAGCTCAAAAACGGAAATTATGTATCGTAGTATATTCATAAATGATTAATACGTTTGGTACATTTACATCTTCTGTTACTTCCGAATGTTTTCCTTTTTCTCTCAAAAAATACTTTTTTTTTATTTATTTAAATGAATAACAACAAAATACAGTGTATACTCTATATAACGACACTTAACGGACTGAACATTTTTCGGCGTTATAAACAGTGGTCGTTAAATGGAGAGAAATAAAAGATATTATTTTACTATTCTATAATAATATGCATTTACCAATATAGTACACATTTTGCAAACGAACATTATTATTCATACATTGCGTATAGCCTGTTGTCTTCGTCTGATGTTTTTTGCTGCTCCAATATTTTAATTGTATTTTGTTACGTATCTTACTCATATCTTGAGATACTGCTGGATCAATTTGATTATATAAAA